TTCCTGCTTCCAAAGCCAGGATCTGAGCCACCTACCCAGACAGGCTCCTTCCCCACCTTCCAGAGAATGGTCTCTGGCTGGTACAAGATCCCAGGACACACCAATTCCATGCTCCCCCTGCACCACTACCATGTTGGGAATAGCCCAGCAGACTCCCATGGGGAACTGAGCACTCCGATGCACTCTGCAGGATACAACTCAGTCTCCCTTAGGGCCTGTTCCATACTTGAGCAGGACAGAAACACACTGCTCATAAGTGGAGAGCTCTAAGACTTTCAGGACTGACAGACGCCTCTAGCCAGGACTCATATTTGAGCTGCCACATGTCAGGTCTCTAGGGCTGAGAGGGAAAGGATCCAGCAGAGCTCTAGAGCCACAAAGCTCTTGGCTGGGGGATGGAATTGTCCTGCTCTTGGGCTCAGATGCTCTTCTTGAGCCAGAAGGAGGCAGGGAAATTGTCTGATCAGGAAAATGAATCCTTGGCTGGCCACTTCAGGCCCTGCCTATGGTCCAAACTCCTGATCCTGACTGACTGTGCCATGGTGGGCCCTGTCAGCTGCCCACAACAGCGGTCAGTCCTGCAGACAGCCAGGGCAGTGCCGGCCTCTTCCTGTGGCCTGCCAAGGTGGAGACATGATGGGCTGCTTCTCTAATGCTCATAGATGCTCCTGCAGCTCAGGTCCCCTTCTGCAGCCTTGGTTCTACTCTGCCAGCAACAGCAGCCCTCCTGTTGTGGCCAATCGAGCCTGCCATTTGGTGCCCCTCTGGGTTGCACAGAATCTACCAGAGGCAGCCACGGACTCTGAGTTGATGCCTTCCTTCCAGGGGCTCTGCACAATAGCACAAGGGGACACTGTAGACACTAAGAGCAGCTGCACCCTGTCCCACAACTCTGGTCCCTTCTGTTCCTGTCTGGGCCCTTCAGCTGACACTCCGGCCAAGGCACAACATGGGCAAGATGGTGGGAACCACAATGAGACCTTGGCTGTGGGAAGAGCAGCACCACTATTATGTCACTGAACCTCCTCTCACACAGGAGCCAGGATTACTGGGGCTGATACTACTGATACTGGGGGTTAGGGCAATGAGGGACCCTGAACCAAACCCAACCCAGCTGCTCCAGAGCCCACCCAGCTTCTGTTACACAAAGGGACAGGAATCCTCACCCAGCCAGCTCACAGCCTCGTAATTCTCTTGCATCACATCCCCGTAGAGGGCTCTCTGGCCCGGGTCCAGCAGAGCCCATTCATCCTCAGAGAAATACACAGCCACGTCCTCAAAGCTCACCGGCTCCGCCACGGCCATTTCCTGTCTTACACAAGGGGATAGGAATCCTCACCCAGCCAGCTCACAGCTTCGTAATTCTCCTGCATCACATCCCTGTAGAGGGCTCTCTGGCCCGGGGCCAGCAGAGCCCATTCCTCCTCAGAGAAATACACAGCCACCTCCTCGAAGGTCACCGGCTCTGCCACAGCCATTTCCTGTCCCTGGCTCTGCAGGCTGGGGACTGAGCTGGAGTCAGACATAGGTGTTCTGCAGCCTGGCAGGGGAGAAGGGGAATTGGAGACATTTCAAAAAGGGCTTTAATCCTTTCCACACCCCAATTCTGCTCGGACTCTGTCCCTGGTGAAAAACATGCTGGACTCTGCAGTTTTGGGCAAACTCTGACTCTAGATATTCCATAAACACCACACATTAGATCCGAAAGCCGTATTTATTTCTCTCAATACCTGGCTTGAGTTACATTACTTTGCCTGCAACAATGGGATTCAGTTCTCAGCACCCAGTGTTTCCGCTAACAAGCCACATATTCATCTGCCTGAATACGGACATAGGTTTAATTTACTTTGGGCTGCAGTATTTATAATCCTTAGTCTTCATGCATTGATTTGCAGCCCAAACTTTGGTTCTCTCATCTGACACAGACTTTATAAACTCTCTCCACAACAGAGAGGAAGTGAAGTTAATATGAGTATTCAGATGCATATTATTAAACACATGTGCTGAGTGTTTGCAAGATAAGACCATAAAATTCATGGATTCATGGCATCAGAAGATATCGTTAGCCATGCAGTCTGTCCCCTCTGCGGCACAAACCATTACACTTAGCCCAGCTGCCCAGGCAGAAAGCTGTTTCAGCACAGCATGTGTTCTATAAATTTGCCCAGTGCTGATTTGAAGACATCAAGAGATGGAGAACCCACCAGATTTTTGGTCATTTGTTTCAGCAGTGAATCCTCTTACCCATCAAGTATTTGTGCCTCCTCACTAGCCTGAAATTCTCTGGATGCAGCTTTCACTTACTGGCTCTCACTGAGCTGTATCCACTAGACCAGGGATGGGAAATTAATTTTGATGGGGGGGGGAGGCACTCCAAGATTTTGGAAGGGATGGGTAATTCATTTTGATGGGGGGGAGGCACTCCCAAGATTTTGGAAAGTGGTTGAGAGCTGCACTCTTCCAAGACATTAAGCAGGAAATACAGTGAATGGGATGGACACAGGGGGAAGAAAGGAGCTTTGGGTGAGGGTTTGTTGGGTTAAGGAGGCAGGTGTGATCTGGGGCACTGGATTAGCCAACTACTCATGAGATATTTAAAGTAAGGTTAATTAAGAGAAGTGGCTGAGTGGACAAATAGGGGGCTGAGGGTTTCTGACCATGAAGAGCTTCTTGCATACTTGAATGCAGGAAGAGAACAAAGAGTTTGGGTATGTGGAGTGGGAGGCAGGAGTGGAGAGCAGAGAATTAGGAGGGGAAGGGAGAGGTTGGGGTGCCAGAGGCAAGCTTTGGCCAGGAGACTTACCTGAGTGATTCCCGACCAGCAACCAAGCACCTCTCTGAGGCAGGCAAGGAGCCTGCCCAACCCTTGCACAGGCAGTTGTCATGGGGTGGAAGCAGTGCCTGTAGCCTTCCTGCTTCACCTCGGAGCTGGAGAGGAGAGGGCACGGTTCTTCCTTTCTGGCCAGAAGCCAGCCAATGAGATTGTCCTGGAGATGGAAGCAGGGCCTGTAGCCTTCCCCCTTCACCTCCAGGCTCACCTTTGCCCTCCGGACTCACCTTTGCTTTTGGTGGCTTGCAGGTGGGAAGTGGCAAACACGGAACTAGCCCATTGCTCGCTAAGCATCAGTGGGCCAGATCCAATGGCCTGGCGAGCTAGATACGGCCCCTGGGCTGTATTTTGCTCAGGCCTGCACTAGACCAAAGAGCCCTTGCGTATCTGGCAGTTTTTCGCCATGAACAAACTGATACCACAGAAGCCAGTCAGCTCTCAGCCTTTCAGCCTATTTATTGTTTGTTCACAGGCCCCGTGCAGTGCCCCTGGGACTGATCACTGAGTGAGATTTAGAGCTGTGTGCACTGTGGTTGCTAGGTTTGGTTGGTAACTTTAATGACAATCCCATGAAGATGTTTTCACAGGAATTTTCTCATTTAAAGACTCTCCACCTGAAAAACTCACCTTGTCTGAAAGCTCCCAGGGATTTTCCTCTTGCTCTCTCAAGTGTCTGGTGGGGGAAGGGATAAGAGAGGTGAGATTCCAGACTCTCCTCTTTATAACAATGTCCCCATGCTGAACTCTGCATTTCACTTGTATCAGAGACCAGATAGAGACACACTCAAGTGTTTAGTATGAAAAGGTCCGAAATCTTCCATGTCCTCTCTCCCAGGAATGGAGCCAACATCTCTGCAGCCTCATCCCCACCCCAGGAGACACAAACTGAAAGTGAGATTTACTTTTCCCTCCTCATCCCCTCCCACCTGGTTTCTCTCAGTCACTTACCACCTCTTGTCATTACCTAGATCTGTGTTGGGGCAAAGACATTGCCATGACATTAACTTTACCTATTTTGATCCCTTGACACCAACGGGAGGCTCAGAGTTTGGAAACCCCTGGCTCTATTTGCAAGCAGTTGGATCTGTTTGCTCAGTGCCTCTAAGGAGAGCAGCATGATGGGGCCATTATTCTCCATGTGGGAATTGAGGCAGGGGAAGGTTGGCTTCAGAGGCCAGATTCAATAGTTTCTAATAGTTAAAGAACTTTCCCCTACTCCATCCCTTCTAGGTACCTTTGAATTCCCTCAGAGTCTCCGACAGAGCAGTCGTTATCTGGGAGAAAGAATTGACTTGTTCTTCCAGGTCAGGGGAAATCTCCTCTGGCAGCTGGAACTGCCCCGTCTCACACCTGGACAGAAACAATTCCATGTGATTCTATTTCATTTACAGATGATAAGATTTGGCTAGTGAGTCTCAGCTCTAACAGGCCTGGAGTTAGAATTCCTTGAATTCCCCCAGCCTGAGAGCAGGGGCAACACAGCCCATGGATATGCAACCTTCGTCCCACTGCTGTTCTTCACCTCTGGCCCCGAGAGACCAGCTGGGGACAAAAGTGGAATTGAGTTTCAATGGCTAATTCACTCTTTAGCTTCCAGGCGATGAGGGACAGGATGTTCCCAGATGAAGGGCTGCAGGAATCTGTCCACTGGGAACCAGACTGAGACACCAGTTTCTCCCTTCCCTGCTCCTTCCACACAGGTCTCTAAACAGCCCTCAGGTAGGACAGACTCTGGGTCCCTGCTGCCCTGGTCTAAATGTGCCCAGTGCCCAGCAGTGACAGACCCATATTCCAGCCCCACAGTCCTGAGGCAGACAGTCCCTAGGGAGGTGACAGCTCTAGGAAATATCTGAAGTCAGACTGTGCCCCTGAATGGGGAATTCCAGAGTCACCTGTGCAAGGGTGAGACCCTCAGAATTAAGTGAGTCAGAGACATTTCTATTCAACATCTGGCTGTAGAGCCCTGGGGAGATGTGGTGCCAACATCAGCTCCAAGCTCTTTTCCTGCGCTGTGCAGTGTGACAGGAGTGCGAGCCACCTACCTGTTCAAGCTGTTTCTGACGTCATAGAGAAGAGACAGAAAAGAATCTCAGCTGCACTGGACACACACAGGGAAGGCATTTTGCAAATATGGGGAAGAGACGCCCTGACCTGGCCCCAGGGCCATAGAGTCCATGAGCTAATGGGGCTTTGCCATCTCCAACAGGTCTGCAAAGCACAAGAGTCACTCGCATGGCAGCAATGCACACGCTGAGTTACACCCAGATCTGATGGTTGGATCCCAAAGTTTGTTATTCAGGAGCCTCCCTTCCCTGTGTGGGGAGCTGGGATGTTTCTCCCTCAGTCTCACCTGCAGGAATTCACTCGCTGGCTTCTGACACTTTCCCTCCAGCTCACTGATCCACTCGCTGACACAGGAGATCTGCCCAGAGAGTTTCCTGAGAGTTTCTCTCTCGGCTTGTGTGGAGTGTGAGCGTCTGGAGGCACCAATAGCCAGAGACAGACGGGCCGATGGGCCCTGCGCTGAACGTGCAACATTCAACCACAGAGGGGGCAGCAGCGAGAAGCCTGAGGCCCCTGCCCGGCTGGAGCAGCCCCCCACAGGCAGCACAAGAAGGGGGGTCCCAGCCCCCTCAGCCCAGCTGTGCCCCTCCCCCAACTCGCACAAGAGAGCTGCAGCCTCCCCTCCTGGCCAACTCCCCCTCAGCCTGTGTGAGCCCCTCCCAAAAAACCTCCCCCACTGAGGCTCTGCCCCACAACCCCCCTCCCTCCGCTGGGACTCAAGTGCAGCCGCGCACCCAGCAGCAGCTGCTCCACAGACACGTGGGGAGGGAGGAGGTGGGTCAGGAGCGAGGGGCAGGGCCTCCAGCAGCCGTCTGGCCCGCCCTTGAAACTCGTGCATGTACAGCATGGGGCTCTCCCAACCGTCGGCAATGAGGCGCCGCGGAGGGAAACAAACAAACAGCCCTGCCCCCCGGCCACGCAGAGCCCCGCCCTCAGGGGCCCCCCCAGCTTTAACTACCCAGCCCCGCCCACCTCGCTCTGCTCCCCGCTCCCCCGAAGCAGCGCGGCGAGTAACAGCACTTAGCACTGCCTGAGAGCGCGCATGCGCAGTGATCATAGCGGTATCAGACGCTGCTGCTGCTGAGGGCGCGGCGGGATGGGCAGGGCCTGAGCAGGGCGGGAAAGCACGAAAACCCGGCCACGCCGCACGGAATGGAGGGGCCCGGTGAGATCGCGCATGCGCAGGTCAGTGACTCTGCTGGAAATCCAGTGCCAGGGCTTAGCTCAGACCGGGTCCCTGCAGGCCCCAGCCCGACCGGCCGCGGTGATACAGTCCTGCCCCCAGGGGAGCGGAGGGGCTGGGGACGGGGTCCACT